CCCTAAGCCCAAGGACTTTTTCTCTGTGTGTGGAGGCAGGCTTAGCTCCTCTGAGAATGTCAGGTCTGCGGATTTTGACATACTTAGACGATTGGCTCATCATAGCCGAATCGAAGATGAAAGTAGTCTTAACCGCAAACACATACCAGCTTCATCACTGTGTCTGTCACGCGACTCTGTTCCCCTTTCGGGCTCTGTCTTTACATTTATTTTGAAAGATGAAGCTCGCGATTATGGTAAGGGGCTTTACATTTCCGACGAGTGCTTGTGGTGTTCGGCCAATCACAATGCGCTGGGTCAGCTGGCCAATCAGAGCAGACTGCGCTTGTCGGAAGGAGGGACTTTGTAGAAAACGAAGCATTTGAGAGAGGCAGGGCATATAAGACCTACAATAATGTACAGTATTTGAAAAATAATGTGTTTTTTGAACATTAAAGCATGTCAACATATTCTGTTACACCAAATACACAAAATAATGATCTTTAAAAAAGCATCATATGACCCCTTTAAATTGTACACATTTTCAGTGGTCAAAAACCAAATGTGGGTCACTTTGCATACAGATGATACTTCTTTTCTTTTAAAGAAGAATGTCTAAATAAAAAATAATGTTGAAACTAGAAATGTATCTAGTTTCCTTCTGTCAAAACAACTGCACTGAACATACCTGAGTGCCATAAATATTATTTTCCCAAAGTTTATGCGTCTATAACTCAAGATGTATTAAAGATATCTCAATATGATTTTAGATTGTAGTTCCTAAGAAACTTCTTCTTCATTTTCAAGGCCATATTTCATTCAGTCACAGAGATATGGGGACCTCAATGAGGCTCAATATTCAGATTGTTGAAAATGACCCACTTTCAGTGGTTGAAAACCAAATGTTGGTCACTTTGTAGACAGCTGATACTTGTTTTATTTAAAGGTTAATGTATGAAGAATAAGCAATGTTGATGTCCTTTATCAAGACAATTGCATAGGAAATACCTGTTTGAGTGCCATAAATAGTATTTTTCCTAAATTTGCATGTCTGTAACTCGAAGTATTAAAGATATCTTAAAATTGAAGATGTAAAAAGTAAAGTTTGTTAAGACTCAGTATCTTATGAATTAAGATATTCATAAGATATCCCCCTCCACAAAATAGTGGATTTCACAGTATTATTGAAATTATTTGAGATGCTTACTGTGTTGAATGCACTTTTGATTCTTAACAGATAAGACTTAGACTTAGATTTGTTTATACATTACAGGCACTTTGCCATATCTGACTTTTACTTGTTTCAATTTTGCATGTTTGTTTACATTAGTTTTGCTGTGTTAATTTAATGTTCATATATAACTGCATGTGGGTAGTTGATAGAAAATTTATAGAATGGAAGTTTCAAAAAATTAAATAAATAATTAATAAAAAAGTGCCTTTAAAGAAGCTGGGCCCATCTTTGGGTATTTGGTGACATATATCTCATTTATAAAGGAAATCCTATTTTCAGGTGACTGCATTTTGTCAAGAAGATGAGCACAATTATGAAGCTCCAAACATGCAAAATAAAAAATGTGGCAAAGCAACATGGACTGTAATATTTGAGGATTCTGTGGATAAAGATGCACTTCGTTCTCTGAAACCACTGCAGTCCCCTCCACCACCACCATCTTTCAAACTTGTGCAGCGAAAGCAACGGGTCGTTTGCCTCATCCTTGATATCTCAGGAAGCATGCGAGTATGACATTATCTTCATTTAAAAACAAAAATGCTACCATGATAACGTCACAGTTTACGCATGTAACCATGGTTCCCTGAGAATAGGGAACGAAACGCTGCGTCCTCTAGAGGGCAATAGGGGAACGCTGTCAGCGTGTCCGGTGTCTGAAGCATGAATGAAAAAACGACAATGAACTTGACATTGGCAGGCGGGAGCCTATGACGTAAGCAAATGAGCGACTGTGGGTATAAAAGAGCACCTGTGGAATACATCATCCTCTTTTTTGTCTGAGGAGACACAGGAATGATGCCGAAGCATGGCACAGAGACGCAGCGTCTCGTTCCCTATTCTCAGGGAACCGTGGTTACATGCGTAACCTGAGACGCTCCCTTTCGAAAGGGAACTCTACGCTACATCCTCTAGAGGGCGCTAGGGGAACGAAATACCAACGCCGCCATGCTGAGGGATGAGTGCCCAGGTAACTAGGTTCCCCAGGTCACGACTCAAGGAACAACATCCCTGCCAGCGAACGCTAGGCTCTACGGGCAGGCTCAAGCTCACCAATCGTCATAGACTAGCTCACCCAGCTCTAGCTCAACGCCAGAGGCAGTTAGTGAGACTCAAAAAGAAAGAGCCTACAAACTCGTATTATCGCCAAAGACGGAGCTCTGAAGAGCGGAGGCTTCAGCAGGATGACTCTCTTAAACCAGAGGAAGCCTGGTAGGGGAACTCTTAAGAGTGGAGGTCTCAGCATAACGACTCTCTAAAGTGAGAGGAGATCTAGCTACACTCAACGCCAGAGGCAGTTAGTGAGGCTCCAAAACAAAGAGCCTACAAACTCATATTCCTGCCAAAGACGAAGTTCTGAAGAGTGGAGGTTTCAGCAAGATGACCCTCTTAAACGAGAGGAAGCCTAACAACACTCAGCCCCAGTAGAGAGACTTTTAAGAGTGGAGGCCTCAGCATGACAACTCTCTAGAACGAGAGGAGGCCGGACTACAGTCAGTGCTAGAGACAGTTAGTGAGGCTCACAAAAAAGGGCCTACACACCAAAAATACTGCCTAAGCGGAGCTCTGGAGAGCAGAGGCTTCAGCAGAATGACTCTCTTAAACGAGAGGAAACCTAACTAGTTTAGGAGCTCTTAAGAGTGGAGGTCTCAGCATAACGAATCTCTAAACCGAGAGGAGACCTAGCTACACTCTGCGCCAGAGGCCTACAAAGAGCCTACAAACTCATATTACTGCCAAAGACGGAGCTCTGAGTAGCGGAGGCTTCAGCAGGATGACTCTCTTAAACGAGAGGAAGCCTAACAACACTCAGCCCTAGTAGAGAAACTCTTAAGACTGGAGGGCACCGTGAGGAGAGAAGGAGGGCTGAAGTTAGGTACTAGTACCAGCTCCAGACGCTTTTTGCTGACCGCGTCCGCTCCGGAACTCTCCCCTTAGGTCCCTTCTCCTATTCCTGAACTCACGTCTCCTCTGCGACCTACTCCTCCTGGGAGGAGGACCGCGAGTAGCCACACTAGACCAGGATGGGCCAGGTCCCCCCATGTGCTTGGGCGCAGACATAGACCGGCGCGGTATAAAGGACTTATACGCTGCTGAGCGCGCCTTCACCTCCCTAAATTTACCGACCACCGTCTCAACGGATGTGCCGAAAAATTCAGAGGGCGAAACCGGCGTATAGAGAAGAAAACGTCTCTCTTTCTCCCCGATGACCGCCATGTTCACCCACAGATGTCTCTCCGTGGCCACCATTGCCGCCATTGACCTACCGATCATGGCAGCTGTCTGTTTGGTGGCCCTGAGAGCCAGATCTGTGGTGTGGCGCAGCTCAGCTACCGCCTCAGGGGAGAGCCCCTGACCCTGGTCTAGGTCTTTCAGCAAATCAGCCTGGTATGACTGCAACACAGACACTGTATGCAAGGCAGCACCAGCCTGACCTGCTGCCGCGCATGCCCTACCATTCAAGCGAGATGTCTCCTTTAATGGCTTGGATGGCAGAGCCGGAGCCTTTAACGTTGATGTCACCCCATCCGAGAGATAGCTCGCAAGCGTCTCTTCGATTGGGGGTATCGACGCATATCCATGCTCTCGCATCCCTTCGATGTTAGCATAATTAGCATGCTGGTGCCGATGGATGCGGGCTGAATATGGTTTATCCCATGCCTTCTTGATCTAATTATGAAGATCCGGAAGGAATGGGAGGCTCACGGGAGCTGGTGGGTTATGTTCAGAGAGAAATCGCTCATCAAGCCTGCTGCAAGCGATTTCCCCTTCCTTGTGCCTCCACTGCAGGTCTAACCTAGCAGTAGCACGATCCATAACTTCCAGCAGCTCATCATACGGGCAGGCTGCCAGGCGGGGCAGGCTGACTGAGAAGGCTCAGAAATATCCTCTTCACCCACATCAGCCAAATCCTGCTCACCTTGGCTGGAAGCCAACAGAGCACTTCCTGCTGGATCAGAGGATGTAAGTGACAGCACATCTTCTTCCAGCAGTTCACCCTCATCAGCCCCCGGCGAGCACGAGAGATTAACACCTCTCTCGAACTCGTCAGCAAGCTCCATCTGCGATCCCCACGATCTCAGTCTCCTCGCTGCCTCAGCAGCGTCAGGACCCGAGCCGTGTGGGGCAGATGACTGTCCCAATTCCCTCTAGAAAAGGGACAAACGAGAGCGGAGCTTTCTCACCGAGAAACGCTCACAATGAATGCACTCCACTCCCTCGAGAGCAGAGCGCGCGTGCTCTTCGCCCAAATACACAACGCAGAGGTCGTGTGCATCATCTGGTGTCAGATAGTGCTGACACGGATCCGCACACTTCCTAAAACGCCTAACATTAGACATCGTTCTTACCACTCACACTTCAGAAACAAATGACCCTGAAGACAAAAAAGAGGATGAAGTATTCTACAGGTGCTCTTTTATACCCGCAGTCACTCATTTGCTTACGTCATAGGCTTCCGCCTGCCAATGTCAAGTTCATTGTCATTTTTTTATTCATGCTTCAGACATCGGACATGCTGACAGCGTTCCCCTAGCGCCCTCTAGAGGACACAGCATACAGTTCCCTTTCGAAAGGGAACCTTTTCTTGTTACCAGTGCTTTGAAATTAGTTTGATAAATAAGTTTAAAAAGATTAAAGTTTAAAAAAAAGTTTTTTCACCCATTTTCTAGGGCTCTAGTACCAACAATAAAATATAAATTTAAAATAAAATAAAATAAAAATGAATAAAGTTTAAGGTACTTTTCTCAACTTTGGCAAATGATTTAGAGATCCATCTTTTACAGGAGCTGATGCTTTTCAAGATGATGGAATCTATTCCAGATATTTCATAAAGATGGTAAATGGGAGAAGCAGCTTGAAAGTAAGAGTGAAGAATCAAAGTGCACAAACCAGATTTGCTGTCCTATATGTACCTGGATGTGTGATAAACGGTAAACCTTGAGATATATATATATATGCATAACTATTAGCCATGTTGATATTATCTTTTGGGAGTAATTTCTCAGCCAAATTTGATGTGAGATTAATTTGCAATTAATTAGATTAATTAATCGCCACATCATGTAATTAATTAGATTAAAATTTTTAATTGCTTACCAGCCCTAATATATATATATATATATATATATATATATGTTCGTGTGTGTATATATATATATATATATATATATAAAAGCTTGATACCATAGAGCCCCCCCACATAACAAATCCCAATTTACTCCCTGTATGTATGTACATAAAAGCCTACATTAAAATTAATGTATATAAATTATTTGTTCATCATATAAAGCGAACGTGTATTTTTAGAAGACTTGGATTAAACCACTTAAAGCTTTAAATAATGATTGCCTTGAAAAAAAGAATGGAGGTATTAAAATATCTATATGGCAGTATACAGTATGTGGAATCTTTACCAATGGTATTGAAAATGATTCGTCAATTGTCATGAAATCAAAAATGACCCTACTTACTTTTTTTAGTGCACATTACTAGTCTTGTGGTGAACAATTAAACTGTGGAAGTCAATACACCGGAAAAAAAAAATTGTCTGACGTCGTAATCTTTAATCCAAAACTGAACATTTTGCTTCAGCTCTGGAATGGCGTTCTCGCTCTGATGACGTCAGTTTGACGGCTTCGGGAGAATTCTCTCGTTAAGTATGACATAAGGAATGCTGTTTCCGGGTCCATGCCTCTACTCTTTTCACTTGAGAATACTATCTCAGCAGCCATTTATGAGCACTATTTAATTAATATTACATATTTAAGCTAAGCATTTAAAAAATTGCTGTGCACACTACAGTCTCCGTGCTTACAGTGTCTCAGACACTAATATCTTAGCTGAATCACTAGGCGCGTTTCCATTACAGATTTGCGCAAAACTTTGGCGATATTTTATAAATGTCGATAAAAAAGTATTGCGAAATGACGGCGTTTCCATTAACCAATGTTATGCGACTTAAACGTAACCTTTTGCCTCTCGCGACGTCTGGCAGAGCGTTAGGACCCAGAAGTGGTGAAGCATGATGTCAGAAGTAACAACGTAGATCACTATCCAACTGTGAATCTGCTATGAGCAAGAGGTGGCGTGAAGGTGCACCACATTAAAGCCTCGCCCTTTATTCAATATTCTGTTTCACTTGGGTTAAGGCTAGAAGGGATACATATGGCGTTACTGGGCATGCGCACAAAAATACAGTGTAATTTTTGTCACACTACAACAATAATTAATATTTTTTGCATTATTGTAAGGGGTAGGTTTAGGGTTGGGGTAGGAGTAGGTGTAGACGTTAATAAAAAACAATCTAGCATTTAAAAAATTGCTGTGCACACTACAGTCTCCGTGCTTACAGTGTCTCAGACACTAATATCTTAGCTGAATCACTAGGCGCGTTTCCATTACAGATTTGCGCAAAACTTTGGCTACAAAAATACAGTGTCATTTTTGTCACACTGTACAACAATAATTAATATTTTGTGCATTATTGCAAGGGGCAGGTTTAGGGTTGGGGTAGGTGTAGACGTTAATAAAAAACAATCTAATAGGTAGAAAATTAAATTTCATTCTTAGTTTCCTGTCTGAGCTGTATCCCTTCTAGCCACAACCTTTCACTTGGAAATACATCACAACACTGAAGTCAGTTGCAACTTCTGATTCACGGGTACTTTACTATTGATATTTTTCAAGGTATTGAAGTTAGAAATTCCTGTATCATGACCACTAATTCACATACCTTGTCAATAAAATAAAAGTGGGTTTTATTCAAAGTAGCTATTATCCACATAGATCTTTGATGTGAATGAATATTTTTTGGTAATTCATTAAATATCGCAGACTAAAAAGTAACTAGTAACTAGTACTCTGAGTAGTTTTTGAGAGGAGTACTTTGTACTTTTACTTAAGTACTGTTTTGACACCAGTACATTTATTTGTAATTGAGTATTATTTCAGCAATGTAACAGTACTTGTACTTAAGTACAAATTTTCAGTACTCTTTCCAACACTGATACTGCTATTAACAATTCGCTAATAACAATCTGAATTCTATGATACTGCTGCTACACTCCATGAAAGTACTATAATTGCTGTAAGCCCAACTGAATACGTAAATAAGAAATTCCAGTTTAAGAGTGTCTTACTATGGGCTACTGATTGGAAATGATTTGTTATTAGTAGTAATTTTATATTTTAAATGAATTCATGATTAATTATCTTTAAGCTATCACTAAACATTACTTCCATAATAAACTCTTCACTATCGCTGAACCAAGGTAACGAGTGAAATAGAGATGTGGCCCCTTTAAGAGTGAGCTCTCCCTCTTCTTAAGTGCATTGCACGTATAAGTACACGAGTACACGTATAAGTGGGTATATTATTTTCTGTTGCTCATTAACTTGTTATGGTTAAATAGGTAAGCTGTTGACAGTATGATGTTTATGAAAGACGGTTATACGGGTTCTGACTTAAAACTCTGAACAACGGTGAAACGCCAACTGCAAACCGACCCCACTAAGGTGTGCATCTGAAAGCGATCCGTTCGCAGTTAATGTAGAAATGGATGCCCACAGAAGATATTAAAAGAATTGGAGATTTCGGGCAAATAAGGTAATCCCCAATTCACTTTACAGTTCTAAAATCTGCGACGCTTGACATTGTATTCTCACATAGTCCATGAACTAGAAAAAACGCTTGCTATACTGCAGTTATATGAACAAGACATGCTTAGTAATTACTCCTATCACGAATACCCTGTGCGTAGTTTTACAACTTGTATGTGTAACGAAGGAGGCGTGACAATGGAGTAGGGATCCAAATGCAAGGCTTTTAATTCAAAGAGCGTGATCAAAACAGGCAGGGTCAAAATATCAGCGAAACAGTACATCCGAGGCAATCCAAAAGAGTAATCCACAAAAACAGGCAAAGGTCAGGGCAGGCAGCAAACAATCATAAAACAGATAAATAGTCCAAGATCAAAATACACGAAGACAAGGGAGAGCAAAAAAAACACGGGAATGAAACTCTGGGAAAACAGGAGAACGTTACAGGTTAAGCAATCACTCCAGTTGGAGATCGTGACAGTATGTTTTCTAAAAATTTAATTAGAAAATGTAATTTAAAAATGTAAATCTGACGAACGCAATAATGTACTGAAATCAGAGTGAAGACTGTTTACTTATCTAGCTGTTAAGTTTCAGAGAAGCAAGAATCTCAAGTGAATGCTAGCCAGCCATATAAATGCAAGGCAGTAAGCTCATTAGCTGCATATGCAGCATGAACCAATCAGATTGTGTCAAGTCGTTTAGCTCTCTGAATATCATCAGTTATGTTAACAACCCGTCAGCCTGTACCATCTAGAGTTTCATGAGTGAACTACACACATATATATATATATATATATATATAGACGAGATTGATATTGCTCTTATACATAGTTAATTCCTCAATTAAAACTTGACAGGCTAGTATGCCATCTTAAATGAGGTTCTACAATACAATCAAATAAGATAAATGAAATATATAACCAAACTACCTTTATTTTCATATTAGATATTAAAAATATTATGACAAATTATATTCATTAAATATTTAGAATCACAGAATTATGCCTTCATACCACAAACTCTTCATGTGGTATGTTTGATGGCATTACAGAGTGTCCCAAATGAACGCATTTTGTCAAGTGGACTTCAACAGATATCCTGAGCTCAGTGATTAGGGAGCAGTAAACACTACATAGGGAACATGTCAGTTGGAATGCAGCTTGTCAATCATAAAGTTTTGCTCCTGAATTCATCTGTTTTGAACAACATGTTTGTGTGAATGATTCAGTTATTCACTCATGAACAGGGCCGTATTAACCATTGGGCTAGGTGGGGCTGAAGCCCCGGGGCCCGAGCAAGGAGGGGACTCGTGATTGGCTGTGGAGTAGATTGACTGGAGCGCCGATCGCTTAAGCCACCACGCCCCCCACTTATTAGCGCTGTTATTTAGTTGAGCTTTTCCGTAAATTCCATGCATTACCATTTGAGATTGAAACGTAAAGTCTGAATTTGGTTTACCAATCAAATGCATTTATTCTATATATGACTTTTGAACGATATGTGCACGTATCTATCAGGTGATCGCTGCCCAGTAGCCTATGTCTGCATTCAACTCTCTTCACTTTGTTCTGGAGTAATCTGGAAATGGTCGCGCAAAGAACAATATTCGATAAGGAAAAACGTCTCAGGTTACTTATGTAACCATGGTTCCCTGAGTAGGGAATGAGACACTGCGTCCTCTAGGGGTCGCTATGGGGAACGCCTCGTCGTGACCCGTGTCTGAAGCATACATTGAAAAAACACCAACTCGTTGGCCGGCGACAGCCATGACATCACTACCGGTGCGACTATAGTATAAATAGGCGCCGGGAGCATACATCATTAACTTCTTCGTCTGAAGCTTGCGTCCGCAGCATGGCAAGAAAACTGTTCATGGACATTAAGCTGCGGGGCAGAATTCATTCTGGTAATTGCGTGCGTTAAAACGGGTTCTGCCTAATACGCGCGGCACGCACCTGCTCGTATAGCGACTGACTAAACTTTCTCTCCTTATGCTTAAACGTTCAAATACACATAGTTATGTGTCAAAATGCCTGTCTTTGCGATTATCCTCGTAAACACATTTATTTGTGTCTTAAATTAACGTTAATAGTTAAAGATAAAGCACGTGTAGTGTTAGGCTATATGAGATCCTGGATTATATGATGAGATCTTAAAAGGATAGTTCAACCAAAAATGAAGATACTGTCATCATATACTTACCCTTAAATTGTTCTAAACCTCTATGAATTTCTTTTTTCTCCTCAACATAAATATTTTGAAGAATGATCGTAAACAGTATCTGGTCCCCACTGACTCCAATACTGTATTTTTTTTTATATATATATGGAAGTCGTGAGGGCCCAGCAACTGTTTGGTTAGCAGTATTGTTCCAAATATATTATTTTGTGTTCAACAGCAGAAAGAATCTCATACAGGTTTAGAACATCAACAGAATTTTCATTTTTGGGTGAACTATTCCTCTAAAGCAGCCTAATATAGCTGTTGTTGCCATTTCATATAGAAAGAAAATCACTTAGTCTCCTTGACTGAATCACTTTTGTAAAATAAATAAGAATGAATATATATTGAATTTATACAGTGAAGACTATTCAGTCTATTTGCACATTTCCTTTATACAATATATTTATTATCATTATTGTGATGGGGGGCCCTGCAGTAAGTCATAGCTCTGGGGCCCAGTGCGGTCTTAATGCGGCCCTGCTCATGAAGACACTTTATTGGTGTAACCCACAGAAAGTCAATGAATTAATGCACAAACTGGAACTAACTGTTGTTTAAATGGCAATATACTGTAATTACCTATAAAGCTGTGTGGAGAAAAACATAATAATAATAAATTCAGGTGGTTCCTCTAACTTCAACTGTAGTGAAGCTGAAGCCTCCAAAGCCTCCCGTTTTTGAAGAACCACTTGACGCTGGAAACTTTACCAGAACAGACACCGGAGAGAGTTTTGAGGTGACTCTTTCAGGCACAGCTCCACCAAATTTCCCTCCTAACAGAATCACAGATCTGAGTGCTGAGATCCAGGAGGACACGGTGCTTCTCAACTGGACAGCTCCTGGTGAGGACCTTGACCAAGGGACAGGTAACGCATACAATTACTATACCAGTCTTTAAAAGGTTTTTCATTTGTTTAACATCTTTGCTGACAAAATAAAAGTTGTTTTAAAGTTACATCATGAAATAATGTATCTTTAATTGTCTTGCACTGCATATTTTTTTGTTGGTTTCCTTTAAGCTAAATCCTATAAGATCAGGTGGAGCTTTGACCTTAAAATGCTTCGATTCAACTTCAGCAATGGTCATTCAGTCAACACAACTGCGGTCTCACCTCAGAAGGCTGGATCAGTTGAACAGCATTCATTCAATCTCAATATCACAATCCAAAATGGCACCACACTCTTCTTTGCAGTTCAGTCGGAGGACAAACAAAAAGCAAAATCTGAAACCTCCAACATTGCTCAAGCTTCAAAGATCCTCCCTGCTCCAAAACCTCCAGGAATATCAAACCCAGACATTAACTTAGTTCTTGTCATTTCTCTGTGTGTGGTAACTATGGTCATATGTTTTATTGTTGCTGTAGTCATATGTGCAGTGAAACGCAGAAAACGCTCTGCTCAAAGTGATATTGCATTAATAATCGCAAACGAATGTCAAAACAATCTGTATGCCTAATTTGACATAAGGTGTATACATAAGTATGTACATCCAGCAGCGTTAAAACATAATCAATTCCATCAAACAGAATTTCTTATTTTTTTATATTTTTGCAGCATGTGTAATCTTGCACAGATTATTAAGAAGGTCTGTCATGTAGGATTCCTTGGAGTGAATATAATTTCATAATTATTCAGTTAGGTGTACAATTGTCCACTGTATAAAACAAACCCTGAACTCTCTGTTCCTCAATGATTAATTCTGCTTTCAAGCACCCCTGGTGGGAGATGACCAATTTTAAATTAGAAAACAGTAAACTTTGCTGCCTCGTGCGATTTCTGCTCCTGCTTGTGGTTGAATAACATTACATTGTGACCATGTTACCTAGTGTAATATCTTCTCATAGTTACATTTTCTTTCTTTTCTTTTTCCAAATAAGTAAATGACCATTTTATTATGAAATATCTCCTTTTTACAGCACTTTCAAAACACTCCTAATACACTGTAGTAAGAAATTGCGGTCAAGCCAGCAACAGTTTGAAAATCAAGCCAGCCGTGATATATATATATATATATATATATATATATATATAAAGAAAATGCGTGTTCAGAGTGATTTTCATTGATTTGCCCTGACTTTTGAGATACTATTACAAGATTTCATGTTTTGAGATTTTTGTTGTACTTCTACTTTGTTATCCTTTTTAAGTATTGGTGTTTTGGCAGTTGTGTGTTTCTTTGAACAATGGTTTTCTTCTTTAACGGTCACCTTTCAAATTGTTTTATGTAGATGTGTTTACAGCAAGATTATATTAAAAAAAAACAGACAAAATAAAGTGCATACTTTCTCAAAATGCCTTACTTGCTTTTTGTTTTACTGTACTGGAATGAAAGTTAGTCGTAGAAGCATTGTTATATAATGAGATTTAAAGGGGTCATATGATGCGATTTCAAGTTTTCCTTTCTCTTTGGAGTGTTACAAGCTGATTGTGCATAGATAAGATCCCTGCCCCCCTAAAACGGCTCGTTCTAACACGCCCCCACATATCTACCTCACTATGTGGAAATATTAGCATAATGCGGCCCAAATGTGCAGGCAAAGAAAGAAGGCGTGGTTTCAGGAACAGCAGTTAGTGTTGAAGCAGCCATGTCAGGGAGATGCTGTATGTTTCTAGGCGAAAGCAAAAGCACTTTATCTGGCCTTCC